GTTCCACATGAGAAACCCTAGATCGAATGCTCTAATACCAAGTAGTCGCTCAAGATTGAACAGACACTTAAAGGAGAAGAAAAAAAATAAGAAAAGAAGAGGGAGAAAAGAGAGAGAGAGAGAGAGAGAGAGATTTTGAAAAAGAGAGTTGGGTTGATGTGTTTAAACAGCCGCCCCCCTCTTAAATTTATATACCATAGTATCATACTTGTAAAAGGACTGAATTGCTTACATGGCAAGATAAGATAAGATAAGGTAAGATAAAGCTGAAAAAAGATTAATCCTAATCTTATAAAAGACTAGTCCTAATCTTATCATAAAGAACTAATCCTAATATAACTTATTGCTGACATACGAACAGTGGGGACCTCCTTAGTGGGGTCCACATTAGTGTTCTCTACACCCCCCAACTCCTGAAGAAATCCTCCACCTTGAAGTCTGAAAAGAGTTTCAAGGTCTTTACCCAATGTGCAACTCTTAGAGTTATGAGATCAATCACTGCTTCCTTACTCCTCTGCTTATCCCCAAAAATTCTTGATTTTCTTTCTTCACAGTTCACACTGCCCAAATCATCGCTTCCCTTGTGCATCTTCAAAGAATTTTGCTCCTCCTTTTTGTGCTTCTCAAAACAGAAGAGTTAAACCAACCACTCTAAACAGGCAAGAGGGTTACACCTGCAACCAAAAAGAGGAAAAAAAACATTCCCAAATACAGCAAGCAAAAGGACAGGAGATTAAGAGATGAAAAGCAGTCTCACCATTCAACTTACATAAGACAGACAAATTGGGGGACAAGGACCAGTTTAATCTTTTCTTCTAAAGCACATCACAAGTATTAATGCAACTATGGAAAACTTTTTCTTATCAATAACTGGAAATTCCATTGGTAATTAAAAGGACTACATCAGATGAAAAAGGAAGAGATAACCTCTCTTATCTCTTCCCAGAAGCAAAAGATTACAAGAAATCAATTACAATTGTGCCCAAAATAGATGAGTTCTACCTGTGCCAAGCAAGAGTATATACAAATGAAATTGCACATCTTTTGACCCACTAAACTCTCACTTCCATATTCTTAGTTAACCATTAAATCTTTTTCTTCTCATTATTCAATATCCAATGAATCAGTTCTTTTTTGCAGCCAATTAACCACCAGCTTTGAATCCCCCTCAATTATCAACTTCTTAATATTTAGAGAAATTGTTTTTTTAGATTCCTTCCACTTCTGCCAATACCTCAGCCTGAAGAGAATCTCCATTTGCAGCTAGTCCTAAATAAAGAGACACCACTTTACCACCCTCATCCCTTAAGACTCCTCCAATTCTAGAGGTACCTGGATTGCCCAAGCAACTCCCATCAAAGTTTAATTTGATGAAACCTCTCTCCAGAGGGGTCTAATCAGTTGTATTAGATGGATTAACAAGTGCAGGTTTCAGCCACTTCTTCCCAATTGAGCATGATGTCATCAACTGAATATGAAGAAAAAAGATCCACTGTCCTCACCCAATGAGCCACCTTGATCATGATAATGTCTATGATATCTTAGCAAATATTCTAAAATTCCTTTCCTCCCATAACATCCAACAAATGACAACCCTAGTGCATCTCCACAACATCTTACCCCTCATTTTTGGCAAGCTGAAAGGATAAGAGGCAAATTAATCCTTGCAAATCATCTGGGAGATTTGCACCCAAAAAAGGAAGAAAACCAATACCAAATGCATGATGCAAAAGGACAAGAGATTAAACTCTTAGAGACTGTGTTTTTGGATGAAAATCTTGTGAACTCTAGATGTTGGTCAGCCTCTCCTGATGGTCTTTTCAGTTGCTCTCCTTGTTTTTAGAAATCTAACCTTGTCCATTTCTGTTGGGGTAGAATTCCCGGTGAAAGAGATTTGGTGTAAGCCTATTCCGCCTAAAGTTCAAGCCTTCTGTTGAGAAGTTTTCCTTGGAAAGATTAATACTTGTGATTTGCTGCAGAGAAGAAGGCCTAATTCTTTCCTTTCTCCTCAGACGTGCTTTTTATGCAGGATTGGTGATGAAATTCTTTCCCATTTACTAATTTCTTGTCCTTTTGTGAATTGCATTTAGGAGTTTTTTTTATTCCCTCTTTGGTTGCAGGTGCCCCCCCCCCCCCCAAAAAAAAAAAAAATAAAAAGAAGTGGTTGGTATTTTCAACCTAACTTTTTGAGGCAACCAAAGAAAAGAGGGAGGATCTTGTGAAAAGTTACAAAGGCATCAGTAGTTTGGGTGATAAGGAAGAAAGAAATGGAAGAATCTTCAATGGAAAGAATAGATCCTTGGAGGAGTTATTGGACAACATCAAAATAAAGGTGGCTGACTGGTAAAAACCTTGGAAAGCTTTCAAGTGTTCTCAGTTATGGATATCTTTAGAGCCTGGTCGGAATTGGCACAATCCTCTAGAGAAAAAGAAAATATGAGGTTGTATTGGAAAACTCCAGAAGGCATCAAAGAGGCTGAATTTTGACAGGAGCTCTTTTGGAAATCTGGGCATGGCTGGAATAGGTAGTTTGATCAGGAATTCTTAAAGGATAATATTGGCTCTTTATTCAGGTCCCATTGGAGTGGTGAACCCATTGAAAGCTGAATTGTTAACTTTGCTACAAGGTCTTCAGTTAGTAAAACAACTGGAGTAAAGACCGGTGGAGGTGGAAGGAGATTCATAATTAATTGTTTCATGGGATAATGGGAGCAGTCAAACTCCATGGACTCTAAGACATGCTTTTAGGGAGGTGGAAAGTATTGATAAGGACATAATTGCTGAATTTAAATGGGTGCGAAGGACTACAAATGGGTTAGCTGATTCCCTTGCTAAGCAAGGAGTTATGAGACAGCATTTGTCTTGGACTGCTATGTAATATTGAGGGTAGCTTTTTTGGGTGGCAGTCCTTCCTCTTTGTATTAACTTTTTTGATCTTATAATAAAATTTCTCTATGCTGATCAAAAAATAATAATAATAAGTGGTGGCAAGACTCACTGTTGGTTTTACATAGCATACACCAATTAGGAGAGAGGCACATATTTGGTCTCTGGTCTCCTTCTTTGAAGCATGCCACAGGTATTAATTTTCCCCAAAAAAGCTTCCCAACAGAAGGCCCCAACTCTCAAAGGGATAGGATGGCACCAAATCTCCTTAACTGGGAAGCACAGACCAACAAGGAGAGAGGGAATTCAAATAAGGATTTGAAAAATGAAGCGCAAGAAAAGGAACTAGCAGGGGAGAGAGACCACATTCTATGATCTTGGCTCAACGGATCCATGAAAACCCCAAAAAGGATGTTGATAAGTACAGATAGCCCATTCAAATCACCTCCCCTAACCCCCCTTCTAAATCCCAAATCCCAATTCAACCCTAAATCCGAATCAAAATGATAGTAAAAAGAGGAAACAAGCTAATTCTTGAAGCTTGAAAGAGCATAAAGAGAAGGTAACTGATCTTTTTCTTCACAATTTTTTCTGAAGCATTAAGTAGATCTAGGTCTGACTCAAGAAATCTGGTGAGAGGTTGGAGAATAGGTAAGGAGAATGTTCCAATTACTCATTTACAATTCATGGATGATACAATTCTTTTTTTGTGAAGGGGATGACATGAATTGGACTAGAAATCTGAAATCAATAATTCAACTCCTTGAATGCATCAATTCTTAAGGTCAATTTCAACAAGAGTTGCATTGTATGAGTAAAGAGTCAATCTGACCAAGAGGGAGTTGGAGGAGTTAGCAGCTGTGAGGGGGTGTGAGATGACAAAGTGGCCGATTAAATATTTTGCTCTCCCTCTAGGTCATAACCCTAGGTGTGTCAGCTTCTGGAACCCAGTGGTGGAGAGTTTTGCTAAGAAAATTACCAGCTGGAAGAAGAATTGCATTTCTTTAGGTGGAAGGATTACTCTACTCAAAGCGACCCTTGCTAATCTTCTTGTTTATTATCTGTTGGTCCATAGGGCCCCAAGAAGTGTGATCAGGAAATTGGAGAAAATGATGAAACATTTTTTGTGGGAGCCAAGTGAGGGGAGAAAAGATCACAGATTTATTTGGGAACAAGTCAGCAAGAGCAAAACTTTAGAAGGATTTTTTTTTTTTTTGAAGATAAAACTTTATGAGGATTCAGGATTGGGAATTGGGAATATTGAGAGAAGAAATTTGGCTTTATTGGGAAAATGGCTTTGGAGGCTTCCTATGGAAAAGGAAAAGCTATGGTAAAAATTATGAAGAGTATTCATGAGCTCTCGGTAAATGGATGGGACTCAGGAACACTGGCTAGGGCTTCCCAGGCTTCTCTTTGGAAAGATATCAATGCACTGCTGCCATCTTTCCTCCCTTACATCAGGTATGAGGTTTGTAACGGAGTTGTGTCAAATTCTGGGAACCATGGAAAACTTCCCAGCAAAAAGCACCAACTTTTGGAGGGATAGGGAAGCATCAGATTTCTTTTACAGGAAAGGAAGGGGAAGAAAAAGCGGCCACAAGGGACTTAAAAAAGGATTTACAAGGAGAAAAAAAAAAAAGAAAACATCAGGAGTAAGAGGCTCAACAAATTGGACACCAAGGGTATTTCTGACTCTCTAAGATTCCTAATGAAGCCCAAGTTCCAATTCAGCCCCAAAGAAGGATGGTGTTGGATATTACACCATAAAAGGTTATAAACTTTTGTATATTAGACCATAAAAGGTTGAAACTATCACGTTTTGGTTTCCAAAACCCAAGAAACTAGTCGCAATCCAAGATCCACATTACCAGGTTCATATCAACCCCCCTGCTTATCATCAAACATTAATTATTGTTGTATAGAAATAAAATTTAGAACCTAACTCCATTCCTTGGAAAGTTTCTTCAAGTGTAGCACTGCGATCCTTAATGTTATATGGTGGACATGGGATCCATCATCCTTAATGCTACATAGTTAACCATCTGATTAATGGAGAATCTCTGAAAGCAAAACAGACACAACAATATAATTGAAATGCAGTCATAACATCTCACCCTATATATTTGATAACTTTCCCAGTGTCATCTTTTATGGGTGTAATTGTTAATAGATTCCAGAAAGGTGTGCCATCCTTCTTGTAATTCAAGAGTCTTCCACAGTAGCTTTCCCCAGTTTTGACTGTTTTTCGTATTTTTGCAACTTCATTTTGATCTGTTTCAGGTCCCTGAAGAAAGCGGCTGCAAGAAGAGGAAAAAAGGAAGGGAGTTACATTCTGTTAAATAAAAGAATTGAAAACAGCATCCTCAAAAGAGGAACTTGCTTCTTTAGTATAAGAGCAGTGTGTACATGTAGAATATATTAACTTATTTAGAAGCATTAATAAGCATTCTTGATGGCATCCTTCCGTAGTCAAAAATGGAGAAAACTGCACTGGAAGTGGGCTGAAATGAGGTAGATTTTTCTTGTTGTTCCTACATATGAGATCCCTACTCCAGATACTTAAATTGGTCTAATGACTTGGATTTTAGAATCATTCTGTTCCATTTAGAAGGTATGGATATATGCCCAAGGATCCAGAAAAATGACCATGATCAATTGAATTGACCATTTATTTTCAAGATCTCCTAGGCAAGAACATAAATGGTTCATGACCCATGCTTGAGTCATGTGCCAATGTGCCATCTGGAACTGTCTTACGATCTCTCACATGACCCCCTTAGGTTTCACAAAGTAAAACAAAGGTTCTAGCCTAGTTTCAGAACAATAGCAATTGATGAAAAACACCCCTTACCAGTTTCGTCCAATAACCTCCTTTGAAGAATAACCAGTCATGGTGAAAAAACCAGCACTGGCATACATTATAGGGCAGTCTGGCTTTGTTGCATCTGATACAACAAAAGTCTGTTGTAGTGTAGCCAATGCATCCTTCAGCTCTTGAGAGACCCTAGGAAAGCCAGATTCAGAACCCTCTTCAGATGTTCTTGTAGATTCGGTGGTTCTATCTGATGAATTTTTGCTTCGGTCTCCTGATGACCTGACACCAATGGCTTTAGAATTACCTATTCCCATCTCTGACTTAACTACAAGGCCCCACTCTGCAACCCTTTCAGCCATGCTTGCTTCAGATAAAATCTGATTACGATTTGAATTTTGTTCAACTGCTTTATTTGACTCCAAGAGATCAGTGTCTCCCTGCCCACACCCATTGTTCTCTGGTTTATAGTCTCTTTCAAATGCCATCCACTTATCAGTAGGTTCTCTACCAGACAATGTCATCAATTCACCCTCTTGTATGTGATCTGAACTCTGGAATTTAACATGTGCACTCTGACTACATTGTCCTACATAATCCATTGCTTCAAAGATTTCAACTTACTGTCCTTGATTTCTATTACTAACTGACTGACCCTTGATGTGGAGGAGGATAATTAGAAGGGAAGGAAATAAGAGCTTGCTGCAGTTTCCACTTTAAACTGTTAAGAATAGAAGCCCCTGCCAACAAAAAGTTTCTCTGAATTAGAGAGTAAAGAGAAAATTTCACTAGCATTCTGTCAATTAATCATCTAATGATTGAATTATGAAATTGCATTGCAGGTGGGAAAAGAATCTGATGGAATCCAAGTGGAGAAAATTTAAAAAAAAAAAAAAACTAAGAAGTTCATCAAATGCAACTGGAGAAAACTAGATCAATAAATTGTGATCTCAAAGAACTCTACCATAGACAAGTTAATATTCATCTTAAGATCTTCACACCAGCAATGACAACTGGAAAAAGGAGTGATGAAATTTCTCACTGGAGTCATAAGATGAAACAAAAATTGCCACAGAGATGAGCAAATATCTGAATATACAAAAGAAAATGAATGAAAAACAAGTATCCTTCTTAAACTTGGAGTGTGACAACATATTTTTCAGTCTTTATTTTAAGGATAGAAATATAATAAATGTCCACTGGAAACCATAAAATCAATCTACAGAACCATTAAAAAACAGTGAATTATCTGATAATTAAACCAGAAACCACAAAATATCAAAGAAATCAAGTTGAAATGGCAAAGGTTGTACAAAGTCACATGAACAAAATTTAGGAATAATCATAATTTAAGACTACTAAGATGAAACTATGCTCCAAGGTTAGTTTACCAAATTTTCATTACTCCTACCCAAATCATATTCTGTCATAGTGAACAGATGGCAAAGATAAGTCCAATAATATCAGGACCTATCAGAATCCTACTGAAAAATCATTAGCCTACTGAGATTGCATGAAGACTGGAATGTTCTCCCAAGATCCCACCAAGAAAATCAAATTCTACCACAGCTTAAATAATAAAAATAAATAAAATCTTTTTTAGTAGGAAAAAAAAACTCTGAGATTCATTATTCTACAAAACCACATCAAACTATTTTGTTGAAGTGCTATTCTAAGATCCTATCCGTGTTCAAATTTATCACAACTTGAACAATGACAAAAGAAAATTCTGTGTTCTAGTAAAATCTACTGAAGAAAAAAATCCTACTAAAATTATGGCATAACACTCTACTGAGACGATATTCTAACATTATACAATCAAGAAAATGTCAAATTCTACCACAAGCTTAAACAACCCACAAAAGAGAAACACATTTTTTAGTAAAATTTAGTGAAAATTCAACAGTACGAGATAAACCGTAACCAAAGAAATGATTTCCAGAAGGACCAAAATTCAGCTTGAAAGAAATGCAATAAACTCTACTGACAATTAAGAGAAGAAACTAAGAAATGGTGAAACTCACAGTTTCAGATATGATGTAGGATTGTTACGTTCATCAAGGCTCTATAGTAAGTCCGCCCATTCAAGCTCCAAATGATTCAGTTCTTCAAGAACAAGTGTTAAGCAAGTAACTAGTTCAACCCTCAATGAACCTTCAAGTTCCTCTGTAATGTCCTCCAAACGACAGAGAATGGAGACACTGTTTTGAGACACTAAATGCGACTTCGAGTTCCGACTGTCCCAAGGAAAAATATAAGAAATAAAACACGAATCGTGGTCATTAGCTATAACACGTCGATCGTTAAGGAACATTCATGGCCGTTTATCTCATGTTCAGTATCTAAGTCTCACCTTGGTGGGTGTCTTTCTCATTTTTCAAGAAAAGAAATTTAGAATTCCCTTAACCAAGAGAAACGAAAGATGATATTTTTCCTATTTACGCGATCTTTTGTTGCGTCGACCATTTTTCTGAGGCTGCAAATGTCGTTTGAAAAATTATTACTAGATAATTTTTGCTACCCACTTTTTGTTTTATCTTTTCCTCCATTTATTAGTCTCTCGTGAATGAGACATGAAAGAGTGACCAATGAACCTAGAAAATATGAACATCTGGATGACTTTGGATAACACATCAACATATGGTACGGAAAGCTTGATTGATTGATTCTCCTTTCTACTTTCTACTGCGCGATGACAAAATCTTTTTTCCATCAATCTTGATAACAAACAAAACAACAGTGATGACAGAATCCCAATCCATCCTCCTACCATCGGTTGGAGCTGCACCCTTATAGTATGAGTACACCCACCTGGGACCCCACCTCCCATTTCCCTGATGAGTGGAGACGCCTCCCAGCTCCCACACGCCCGTGACGACCTTGTCATGCCACCATCACAACGAGCATCACCATTGATCAATCCTACAATTACAACTCATAGAGTCCTATAGTCATAGGTGAAACAGCTTCTACTTCCTGTGGTTGATTAGATGCATCCCAATCCAGTATACCCATGAAGCAATATTGGAGAACCCAGTCCAGCGGAAGCTTCAAGCTGCCTATAGAAAACCCTAACGTTGCTGTGCTCGTTCTCAGGGAATTAAGAATTTTGGAGTAAATTCCACTCTGCTGTTGCTAAACTTTCGGACCCAAATAGTAGAACCCGGTCATTAAAATTCTTAACCCTATTCCAATAATCCAATTCTTTCGTAAGACTTCACCTGAGTTGGATAAGAACCATGCAGTTACTACTCGGAAAGCATTTGTATTCAGAAAAACGACCACAATAATCCTGAAAGTGATGCAGGAACCAATCACAATAATTTCACCAGGAACCCTTCATCTAAATATTAAATAGTACAACAACCGATTTTTCAAATCCTTAAGAGAACCTTGTATGGCTAGTATTCATCTTACGACCAACGCTTACCAGCAATCCAAATGCAAATGCAGTCTAAAAGACCAACACCGCGCTTCAAACTATCTTGGCTGCCAGGTGAGCTTGCACGTCAAAGTCCAATTATCCTCGCAGAAAGTGGGCACCGTGGGTCTTTGGGTCTACAGTCTACAGGTGACAGGTTTACTCTCTCTCTCTTAGCTTTTTTGGGATCTTATGGATTTATATTTTTAAAAGAAAAAAAAAAAAAAAAAAAAAAAAACACAAGAGATGAGAGAGAAATTGAAAACAAAAACTTAAAAAGACCAAAACCAAATATATTAATGTATTACTAGCATGGTCGCAACTAGCAACACAAATTTTGATATTTATGGTCTTTAATTAATATTGTTGAATAATTTATAAATATTAATGCAATTTTCAAACTAAATTAAATGGTTGAAGGCATCAAAAGGCAAAAGCTTGTATAATATAATTGGAGTATTCTAAAAATCCCTAGTTCAATAATATAGGTTTTGGGGAAACTACATTCATCCACACAGACGTCATTCCTTGAAAATTGGTGTTATTTGTCCTATATGATATTAGAGAATGTTATTCTAAATTTTGAATTTTATAAATGGTTATTTTACCATTTTGTCTCTATAGTTGATTATCATAATGGATATTTATATTATTGATAGTTAACATTATTAATAATAAAATTTTAATAAAGTTTACATAATAATTAAATATTGATAACATAACATAAAAATTAATATTAATATTTAATTGTTTTAATATTATTTAGTAATACAATAATAATACAATATTATGAAAATAATATCATTTTAATAATAAAATAATATATTAATAATAAAGTAAAATTATTAAAATAAATAAAATGTTAATATTATTTTATTTTAATATTCTATGTTATTAAAATAATAAAATTCTCAAGCTGGCAATTTAAGAACATGTGAGAAGGGATGTAAATTCTCTCTTGGTTGTACATATGTATGTCAATAATTTTAATTTTAAAGGCAAAATTTTTCTAACAATGTCCTTTTTTTTACATAATAATGTTGAATTGATTTCAACACTTGAATCTAAGAAATAACAACATTTGACAAAAAAAAGTAAACAAATCAGGCCAATCCAAACCAACCCAATAAACTTAGGGTTGACGTCAACCCAACCTAATCTCGCCAGACTTGCACCGAGTGCGGCCACTTTGGCCACTTTGTGTGTGAATTTGCCAAAGGTTAGGACCCTAATGAGTCTATTCCCCACAAGACCTAAATAGCTAGGAACTACCAATCTAACCAAATCCAATCTATTCTCCCAATTCAAAGTTGAAGATTGAAAGTGTCGAGGTTTTTAAAATCGGATCGGACATGGAACCATTTCTTGGGACTGGTTCCCGGGTTGAACAGTCTAACAGTTTGGTTCGAACGGATGATGCATTTTGACAAAAAAAATAATAAAAATAAAAACGATCAAAAAACATTGTCAGGGTCGATGGGCGACAGTTCAACCTCCCGAGTCAGTGGTTCAATGACTAAATCAACAGTTTTTGGCCAAAAAGGATTAATCTAGTTCCGTGACTAGTTCCCTATTTTCCAGTATAACTGTTTAGTCCTGTCCGATTTTAAAAACAATGTAAAATACATCCTAAACTTTAAACTTTCAAATCCTCAAATTTTGGGGAGACAGCAGAAGGATTAATTCATCTTGATCTTGCAATCATAAAGCATGCTCGGCTAACAAACCCTTACAATATTGAAATCCAAAAGCAAAGCACGTACTGCACGAAGGGTCTGTTCGGTTTGCAGGAATTGAGGTCTGGCAACTGTTTGATCGGGTGGAATGGTCATTCCCTCCCCCTCCCTTAGAAATTTAATTTCATTCCAACTAATTTTGATTCCAGGATATGAGTAGGCCATTCTGATTTTAAATTTGGCTGAAAACCAAACGAACCCTAAAATCTGTATCTGGCGGACTTCACCTCAACTTTTTTTTGCGACTTCACCTCAACTTGTGTCCAATTTTTTTCACAATGAAATGAAATACCCCAAAAAAATGGCATAATGAAATTAAGCACTTAGGGGCAAGTTCTTATATTTCTCTTTTCCCCGTTTTTAAGGACAAGTTGTGAGAGGTAATTCGTACATACCCCACAGGCTATCTTTGGTTTGAAGGAAAAGATAGAGAAAGAAAGGAAAAGGTAGAAAATCTATACAAGATTTGTAAATATTTTTTTATCTTTCTCTTCCTTTTCCTACTTTTTCCTTCAAACCAAATATAGTTTAAAAGCCATACATTGAAAACATTTTTCCAAGAATGACAAGTTGGATGTTTCCCATCTACTGGGTAAACAAATCTGAAATATCCAAAGTGTAGTGAACTAGTGATATTAATTGGACAAATCCAGATGTGTTATCTAATAATATCCACCTTGCGACCCACTTTCCAACTATAATTTTAAACAACATCACTCTCTAACAGAAGTGTAATTGGCAAATCTCATTCTCTCATTATTTCCAGACCCTTGAGGCCAATTTTACTCAACGTTCAAATATCGATCTATCATGTGTTAATCTTTTCTTTTAGTTTTTTTTTTTTTTAAATAGGTCAGGGTAGGTTTTAGGTTTGTCTACCCTTAAAATTAGAGTTACTCATAAAATAACCTGAAAAATATGATTAATCAAACGTATTTTATAGGATTTTTATTGTTCAGTCCACCCCAGAAATCTGAGCTCCACCGTACAGGTGGGATTAATCCTGGCTGTGGATCGATGCTAAATCCATGGTCAGGATGTGGTTTATAGGGGGACTACTAGTAGAGTAGGCGGAGACTGAAATTTTAGATTTCTGAGATGAACTGCAGTCTACTAATCCATAATTATTTTATTTACTATTAATGAATTGGTATATTAATAATCAAATTTTGTTGTTAATTAACTAAAAATATTCAAATATATTGTTTAATATTTAAAATGTTAATGATTGTATTTGTTCATTTAATGTTGATTTATAGAAAATAATTATTGTTAATTGAATATGAACAAATATTTTTTAAGAAATTTAATTTTATTAATCATTTGTAGTAATTTTAATAACTGTTATTATTTTCATTATTTTTAATTGAAATTTTGATTGACTTTAAATAAATAAATAAATAATAAAAATGATAATAAATAATAATTACAAAGCTAACATTTTTATTAATTTGACTTATAATTAACAATTATATAGGAATGAAAACGGGGTGGGTTTGGGGCAGGGCACCCAATCCCTATTCCTATCCCATAATCAAGACAGTCTACCCCATCCCCGCCCCTTCCCCACTGTCAGGCGGGTTCAAATCAAGGCACCCACTCTCCGTTAGGGATAGGGAATCTTGAATTTCCCCACCTCGTCCTCAATGTCGGGTGAGTTCAGGGCAAGGCACCCAGTCCTCATCAAGGATGAGGAATTCTCAAATTTTCCCCACCCGTCTCTAGTGTCAGGCAGCTTCAATGCAAGGCACCCATTCCCCGTTAGGGACGGGGAATCCTTGAATTTCCCCTACCTCGTCCTCGGTGTTGGGCAAGTTTAGGGCAATGCACCCACTCCTAATCAAGGATGGGGAATCAATGAATTTTCCCCACCCCATCCCTAGTGCTGGGTGGGTTCAAGGCAAGACACCCACTCCCCATCAACACAATATTCAATTTGATGACAAAAATGTTCAAAAGGATATACTGAGCATTAGCCACATGGTAAATTTCTAAAAATACACTAAATTGTCTTCAATTTTCACAAATGTAATTTTATGAAAATTTTGGAAAATTTATTACATTTGTGTAACTTTGAAAATCTATTCAAATTTATTTCTAAATTATTATTAAATAATCTATTTTATTTTAAATGGTTTACTTACAGAATTACACTAATTTATCTTATATTTTCTAATATAAACTAATCAATAATTTCATTTTTACAATATTATACTAATTTATCTTAATAATTTATGTAATTACTGGTTCAAATTACAATTCTCCCTTTCCCATACTCATTTAACTTTAATAATTTTTAATAATTCATAATGAAAATTACATAATTTTTCAATAACTTTCCAAAATTTATTAAATGTAACAAATTTTCCTAAAATTTCCAAAATATTCCAATAATTTTCAATAATTATTTAATACATTTCAAATAAATTTTCAAAAAATTTATATCTTTTAATTTCCAAAATGTTATTTTACGAAAATATAGTTTTATGAAAATTTTATTACATTTGTATAATTATGGAGATTTATTGAAAATTATTTTAGATTGTTATTAAATATTTATTTTTATTAGGTAGTTAACTAACAAGATTACACTAATTTATCTTTTATTTTCTAATATAAATTAATTAATAAATTCATTTTTCAACATTATAATATTTTATTTCCCCATCTTCATTTGGTTATTTACTATAATAATAGCAATAACTAAAATTTTATACTTTTTGATAATTGTTAAGAATAATTCTCAATTTTATAGAAATTAGTTAAAGAGTTTTCAATTTCTATAAAATGTAGCTAATTAACATGAATATAACATTTACCCAAAATACTTTAAAAAGTCATATTGAGTTAGTGAATAACAATTTATTAGTTTTTGGTAATTTACCTTGATAATTTACCTTCCAAACTACCAGTTATATCAATCCAAAGAAAAAAAAAACAAAAACAATAGAAGTGTAACTGGATTGAGAAATTACTCCTTAAAAAAGGTTGAGATGACAAAATCACGGGTTCACATCTCCACCCCACAACGTCTCAGAGCACATCTCCGCCGTGTATTGAAAACATCTCCCAATGATAACACGAGAATCGATATATCTATAATTGGAAGATGTTCCCAATACACAGCGGGGATGTGCTGTGGGGCGGAGATGTAAACTCCAAAACCACAACCACAACCACAATCTGTCAATCTGGTTAGTTGCAAATTAACTCAAAATAAAATACCAAACCCTTTGAATAGACCAGACAAAGTAACAATGAGCATACTCGTTGATCCAGAACGTTCACTATATGGATTGCAATCAAACGGGGAAGCCGGAAAGACGAAAACTAAAATTACTGATTTGAATAACCAATGAAGAATTAGAAAATGTTTAG